ATTAATCCAGGCCCTGATATAGCTATTTAACAATCATGTCTGTATAGGTTCCCATTAATCCAGACCCTGATATAGCTATTTAACAATCATGTCTGTATAGGTTCCCATTAATCCAGGCCCTGATATAGATATCTAACAATCATGTCTGTATAGGTTCCCATTAATCCAGGCTCTGATATAGCTATTTAACAATCATGTCTGTATAGGTTCCCATTAATCCAGACCCTGATATAGCTATTTAACAATCATGTCTGTATAGGTTCTCAGTAATCCAGGCCCTGATTAAGCTATTTAACAATCATGTCTGTATAGGTTCTCAGTAATCCAGGCCCTGATATAGCTATTTAACAATCCTGTCTGTATAGGTTCCCATTAATCCAGACCCTGATATAGCTATTTAACAATCATGTCTGTATAGGTTCCCATTAATCCAGGCCCTGATATAGCTATTTAACAATCATGTCTGTATAGGTTCCCATTAATCCAGACCCTGATATAGCTATTTAACAATCATGTCTGTATAGGTTCCCATTAATCCAGGCCCTGATATAGCTATTTAACAATCATGTCTGTATAGGTTCCCATTAATCCAGGCCCTGATATAGATATTTAACAATCATGTCTGTATAGGTTCTCAGTAATCCAGGCCCTGATTAAGCTATTTAACAATCATGTCTGTATAGGTTCTCAGTAATCCAGGCCCTGATATAGCTATTTAACAATCCTGTCTGTATAGGTTCCCATTAATCCAGACCCTGATATAGCTATTTAACAATCGTGTCTGTATAGGTTCCCATTAATCCAGACCCTGATATAGCTATTTAACAATCATGTCTGTATAGGTTCTCGTTAATCCAGGCCCTGATATAGCTATTTAACAATCATGTCTGTATAGATTCCCAGCAATCCAGGCCCTGATATACTAGTAGTAGTAGTCACATTAAACATTACAGAACAAGTCCAGTTTAATGTTACCAGATATACTGTATAGATATTCTTACCTACTTACTACCTACTAAGAAGATGGCCTTTCCAAAATCAGCTTCTTATGTAGCAGATTTCAAAAGAAAAAAAGCGTGACTAGAAATAAATACAAACATAGCATGCCCTGGTGAGTTAAAGCCATTGTGTCACTTTTAAAGCTGTCATGTTATAGACACAGGCGGCAACATAAAACCATGGTCAATCTGATTAGTTGGGCTATAATCCTGTTTCCGGCTACTGATGTAAGAGCTGCTTCTTCTCAGTCCATTACTCTCTATGTGCTGCTGCTACTTCCACCATCCCCTCTAGAAGCCGAAGCAGTCAGTGAATGGATACCTGATTTGCATTATCTATAAATCATACAGAGCAATCGATGTCTATTTCCTGGAGACATTTAAACCCCACACAGGCCCCCAAACATGCGATGTAAGACCTGTGCTGAGGTTAGTTTCTGTAGAAACTTTCCAGTCCTTACTACCATCAACATTTCTCCTGCACAGAGCTTTCAGTGAGTGTCCTCAACCAGGCAGCAATGAGAAGGTCAAACAAAGAATAACTATAATCAGTTAATAATAATAATAGTAAGAATAATACATTCACAGTCTACAAATGTTTACAAATAAAGATATATTGACTGGACAAAAACTACAACATACATCTGAAGGTATGAATGCCATTTATATCAATAAATAGAGAAAATACCATAATACCATACCACTTTCAGTCCATGAAATAAAAGATGCCAAAACAGAGTCCCACTGAGAGGGCAGACAATTAAAATACATCTGAAAGATACATGAACAGGCCAGATGATTTAAAAAAAAAAATGATAGTACATACATGAAAACAAAATCTGTCAATAGAAGAAACAATCCATTGTTCGCATTCAGGGTGTCCAAGAGAGATGCAGCCGGCTTTGCTCCTAGTCCAGGTTCAAAATTGCACATGGGGTAGAATGGACCCCCAAAAGCAGCTTGTGTGGGGCTCAGACTTGGCACCGGCCCCTTGCCTGGGACATGGGCGACCATAGGAAAGGTGGCATCTGCTGAATATTGTAAAGAAGCCTTTTATTTGTTTGCATTATGCAGTGTCCCCCTGTGTGCTGGGTGCAGAAAGTGGATTATGTGCAACACAGTGCAGAACAGGATCCGGTGTTGTAGAAAATACGGCATCCCCAGAACCCCTGCAGATGTGCACGCTCCTTGCTCGTCCTCGTCTGCCTCCGAGTGCTGCTACGCATGCGCACAATTAATCCGTGCTGGTTCTTACGTGTGCATTTATATAGCATAGAGCAGGCTTTCCGTGAAATACATCCTCACTACTGGTTTTATTTTCATAATAAAAAAAAAAATACAATACAACTTTATAGCTACATTCACTACAAAGTCAGATCTTTTCAGTAAAAACACAGTAAAAACACAGTTGACCAGGAGGCCAAATGAATTCTACTGTGTAGAGTTGGAATACTGGACAGGTTTACAATTTGCTTTGTAAATATGTGAACTTCTAAACGTTCTGTATTGAGTTCAGTTGAGTACATGACAGATATCACATATTTAGAACACCAGACAGTAGGGATGCACCAATACCGTTTTTTCGGTATAGGGTACGAGCTCCAATATTTTTTTTTTCGGTACTTGCCGATACCGAGTACTGGTGCCATGTGCCCAGATTGTACCATGTATGACATACATAACTCAGGGGAATTCTAAAAATCATGGCAGTGCTCGGCATCATAGGACATGCTATACATCAAGATGGCATTGGGAATGGGAATCCTTGGGGCTAGATACATACATCCTAGGGTTCACCTCCAAAGGCCACATCATGAGGTTTTTTTTTTTTCTCCTTTATTCACCTTATATAAAATAACATAAAATAGGAATTGTAAAATACGGGTGAGTATATCTTTGTTATTTTAGCACCTAGACACAAATGAGCACTTAACCCTTGCAGTGCGGGGTAGCCCCACTGCAAGGCTTAATACACGAAAAAATCCTGGAAATCCTCTAGCACCAGGGGCGTCCCGAAGCTGGGTGACACCCGGAGCGGTGTCCGAGTGTCACCCCGCCGAGACGTCATCGCGCACGCGTGGCAGTATTCTGATACCCGCCGGCGGCCATAACTACAATCACTTGCCCACCCCTTATCAGCTGAACCTATAACTTGAACCCACTTAATTCCTCCTTCTTACCTCCTTCCCTCCACCTCGTGCAGTATTTCCCTGGGAAGAAGAGAAGTGATTTAGCCTTACTTATGCCTAAAGTGCTGCTGACAGATGTATTGCTAGCAGGCCCTACAACAGTGGGGCCTGTTAGAAAAGTAACACCCCCCCCCCGGTCTAATGTCATCGCCCGTATCATGTTTTATATTTGAAAACATAATCAAAAAGGAATTGGATAAGAAAACGAGTCCACTGATATCCACCCCCTTAAGTGTTGTCCTCATTGCTGGGCATATACAGGTGAAACTCGAATAATTAGAATATCGTGCAAAAAGTAATTGCAGTAATTTCAGCAAATAACCTTGTTAGCTTCCTGGGAAAAAACGCATCAAAAACGCGTCAAAAACGCATCGTGCGTGTGCAGAAACCTGACCGGATCTGGTCTGCATTTGGTGTGAACAAGCCCTAACCCATAATCATCACAATTATGACAAATCACGGCTTGAATTATCTTGCTTTGCATGTAATGAGTCTCTCTCATATATTAGTTTCACCTTTTAAGTTGCATTAGTGAAATAAATGAACTTTGCACGATATTCTAATTATTCGAGTTTCACCTGTATATGGCCTCCTTACCCATCCTGGCTTGGGATGCAGGTGACATGACACATGTTATGGTGGATTAATGGAATGTGCCACAGCATACGCATTATGATACAGATGGATCAATGAATTGCTAGGGATACAATCACACTGTAGCATTGAGCTAAAGGCACGGGATATCACAGAGTGCAATGCATGGCCCTCTAGGTGTGCTGCATTGCCATTTTTTTTAATGGCAGCCCCTGCACAGGCATGTGTTGCAGTGTAATGCATGGTTTTGTGGTATTGTGTACCCCGTGTTGCCCTGCTCTGCAATGGCAACCCATCAGAACACCTGGCCTGTGATACATTGTGCTCTGTGATAGGATGTCAAACGCCTTTAGTGGAAAATGGTGTAAATGGCACCTCTGGCATGTTTATTTAAGTGTCTATCTGATTAGTGTTGCCCCTAGACTTTTTGCCACCTGAGGCGAGGAGGTTTCTATGATGAACAAGAGTGACACAGCTCCTCTGCAGCAGCCCTGGGACACTCTGGCCGACATCCCACCCAGCTGCTAGCAACCAGTGACATCACTGGTTGCCAGGGGCTGGGCAGGATACCAGCCAGAGCATCTCAGGTTGTTCAGAGCAGGGCAAGGAGATGTGACTGGCCCTTACACATATCCCTACCTGGATCCTGGGACGCTGTGGTTGGAAAGGGGGCAGCATTGAGCAGCAGAGTGGCCACTATACAGCAAACATGCTGCTCTGACTGCCGTCCCCCTTCCCTCCACGTGACCCAAAGAGATGCTTCCCGAAGCATTAAAGCAGGGGTGGGGAACCTCCAGCTATGGTGAAACTACAAATCCCATGAGGCATTGCGAGATTATCACAGCCACAGGCTTGACTCCCAGGGACAGATGCATCATGGGATTTGTAGTTTTACCACAGCTGGAGGGCCAAGGGTTCCCCACCCCTGCATTAAAGAGATGGCCCTCTATCTGATTTCTCGTTTACAAAGTTCAATAAAAATGATTGAAACGAAATTGAAAGATGCCCAAATGGTCAGTTGACTGCTAATAAATACTATACTGTGTAAATACTGTCATATTGAGAACCAATTGTAGAATGATGAATTAATGGTGTTTTGTATTCACTATAAACAAGGCACAGACTACAACAACACTGCTTGACTGCAGTATTCAACTGGAATCAGAGCGCAACCAGTGTCTGATCTAGCGCGCGCAGCCGGTCGGCACATGCGCAGAACGTGCCGTCCAGGAGCGAGCGATGAGCGAGCACATCCACAGGGATGCTGGGGGCGCCACATTTCCTCTAACTTCGTACCCTCTCTTATGTCACAGAATAGCAAATTAGTTCTCAGAATTTGTGGGCCGTCCTTCCAAGTTGAAAGCCTACGTCAGAGCCAAAGACACACCACGTGACCCGTCCAGCCGGGTGAAACCAACACGTTCAGGGGGCTCCAGAAATCCTAAATCCCATTTACCTGGAGCAGGCCCTAAACTAACATGCACACTTGGAAAAGGCATTTTTTCTGTTCCCGGGGAAGGTGTCGGGGAAGACACCCGGAGCTTTCTGACGACGGCGATGGAGTGGAGAAAAGTGAAAGGGGTTGGCTGGAGGACACTCGGTCCTCCCCTGCCTGAATATAATGGTAAGATCAGAAGCTCAAATTCCGAGAATTGAGCCCTGTTGATTCTTAGAACTGGGGGTTCTTAGAAGTGGTGATGCAAGGATTTTCTAGGAAAGCCCTACCAGGTGATTCGCTTTTCTCTTTAATTCATTTTTTTTCTTAGGACTTGCCAGTGGCTGGGAGTTGGAGCTCTCTGCATGTTTTCTTTTCTCTCTTTTTATGACATTATTTTATTTTTTCATTCTCTTGTGTTTGTGACTTTTCAGCAGCTTGTTATTTGTTTATTGCGGCTCATGTAGATGTCATTAGCTTGTGTCTGTGTGCGCGGAGACATTGGAGAGACAGGGCACCTTTCTGCTGACATTGTGTTCTAGGAAGGATGGATGCCTGGCTCTGCGTGCTCTGGATGGATCCACATTGTGCATTACGATGTGCCTGTTAGGATGGTTGGGACTCCCCGCTCCGCTGTCTGTCTGTGTGCCAGCCTGTCTGTCTGGGGCACAATGAGATCAGATACAAGGACGGAGGGAAGCAGTGCATGTGTGTGTGTCTATGTCCTGATCACTTCTATGTGATGGCCAGTGTGTGTCTATGTCCCGATCACTTCTATGTTATGGGGCAGTATGTATAAGTCCCTGTCACTTTTATGACATGGCCAGTACATGTGTGTGAGTCCCAACCACTTCTATGTGATGGGCAGTATGTATGTGATGGCCATTTAAATGTATATCCCGATCATTTCTATGTGACAGGCAGTATGTATGTGGTGGGTATTATATGTATATCCCGATCACTATTATGTGACAAGTAGTATTTATATCCCGATCACTTCCATGTGTCGGACAGTTTATGTAGATCCCTATCACTTCAGGCAGTATATGTCCCGATCACTTCTATGTGGCCAGCATTTTATGTATATCCCGATCACTTCTATGTGACAGGCAGTATTTGTATATTAATATCCTGATCACTTCCATGTGTCGGACAGTCTACGTATATTCCGATCACTTCAGGCAGTATATGTATGTCCCGATCACGTCTATGTGTCGGGCAGTAATGTATATCGTGACCCCCTCGGTAGTATGTATATCCAGATCACTTCTGTGTCGGGCAGTCTTATGTGTATTCCGATCACTTCTGTATGTCGGGAAGTAAATACTTTGGCAGCATTTCTATATCTCGATCACCTCTATGTGACAAGCATTAGATCTATGTCCCTATCACGTCGATGTTTATAGCTATAGAGGTGTATATGTATCCAGATGACTTGTCTATGTCGGGCAGTATGAAGCCCGGCTATAGGCTGCCATGCACCTGTGCCCATTTCCATTGGCAGCCCTCCTGATCGGAACTAGTCGCCCCATTATCGGCTGTGCCTTGTCGGTGAATGACCCCCCACACACACACACACTGCACTCCGGGGATTACCGGGATCGCTCTAATGTTCCCTATTCCGGCCATTCTCCGGTGTGTCGCCGCCGTGCTGTCAGTGTCTAGACAGTGTCACGGCGGATCAGGTGGAAGGCTCGGTGCCCCTCCATACCTATTGCAGGG